AAGGTTTCCCACCCCAGAAATTGTGTTGTCTGTGATTAGAGCCTTCCTTCCTTCTTTTTTTCTTCCCAATCTTTATGCCTTTTTAAAATTTTGCATTAATGCACTAGCTAGGGCTACCAGTCTTATATTGAATAGAAATATTGAGTGCGATTAGTCTTTCCCTTTTCATGGTTGTGGAAGAAAAAAAATTGTTCTTTTTGCTATAAATATTAAGTTATCGGTATAGTTTTTTTTGTAGGTGACCTTAAGCTTTACTGAAGTCATTTTTTCTGATAATTTTTTTGGTGGAGATTAGTGTTTTCTATATACAGCATCATGTCATCTGCAAATAATGAGAGTTTTATTTCTTTACAATTTGCCTTTTATTTCTTTTTATATGTTTGATGGTATTCATTTATTTTTATTGTTATAACAATTAAAACATGTAAAAAATAAAGATGCAGTGCTGTCTTCCAAGTGCATTTCTGAAATACATTAATTCAGAATAGATGCAGAGGTAGCAAAGTGTTTTTATTTCTTAGTCTTGTCTGAATGCTATGGCTAGGACTTTCAACACCATGTTGAATAGAAATGGTGATAGTGGGCATTCTTGTCCTCTTCCAATCTTAGGAAAGACTTTCAGCTTTTTCTGAGGATGGTACCAATGGCAGAACTCCACTAGGTTTGTGCAGCAGTGACTCCAAGAAAAACTATCTTTCTGGCTTTTCACCATTGAGTATGATATTAGCTGTGGGTTTGTCATATATGGACTTTATTATGTTGAGATATGTTCCTTCTATACCAACTTTGTTCAGTATTTATATCATAAAAGGATGTTTAATTTTGTTGTTTTTTCTGCCTCTATTGAGATGATCATATGGTGTTTATCCTATATTTTGTTAATGTGATGTACTTCATTAATTGATTTACAGATGTTGGACTTCCCTTGCATTATTTGGTTATGATGTTGGTGTGAAAAAATAAATAAATAAATTCCCAGTTGGGGCCATTGTCTGTGGAGATTTTCTCCTACATACCAGAGATGTGCAATGTTGAGTTAATTGGCATGTCTAAATTATCACAGTCTGACTGAGAGAGACGGGGGTGGGGTGGGGGGGATGAGAGAATGAGAGAGAATAAGCTTACCTTGTGATGGAAGGGCTTGTGATGGAACCCTTGAGGAAGGATTGGTTCCAGGGCAGTTCCCACCTTAAGCCCTGAGCTGCTGAAACTGGCTCAGGCCAACCAGAGTCCTGTTTGAAAATTATCTTACTTTTTAAATTAATTTTTCTTAAATGTATATATTTTACTTATATTTATTAGGAATTCGTTGAGTCTATTTAGAAGTTTGGCCAGAAATTTTCCTATAGGAACTTACTCTTAATTGGCTTTTGTATATTAACTTTATATCATGTTAACTTTATTGTTCTGGAGGTTTTTTGTTGTTGATTCTTTTAGGTTTTATACTTGGATGATCATATCATCTGTGAACAAAGAGTTTTATTCTTTCTTTCCAATCGGTATACCATTTATTTCCTTTTCTTGTCCTACTTTATAGGTAGGACTTCCAATATAGTATTGAAAAGCAGTGGTAGCCGAAACCGGTTTGGCTCAGTGGTGGAGCGTCGGTCTGCGGACTGAGAGGTCCCAGGTTCAATTCCGGTCAGGGGCATGTACGTTGGTTGCGGGCACATCCCCGGTAGGGGGTGTGCAAGAGGCAGCTGGTCGATGTTTCTCTCTCATCGACATTTCTAGCTCTCTATCTCTCTCTCTTCCTCTCTATAAAAGGATCAATAATATATATATATATATATATATATATACACACACACACACACACACACACACACACACACACACATATATATATATATAGAAGAAAAGCAGTGGTAAAAGGGACATCCTTTCCTTGTACCTAATCTTAGTGGTAAGCTTCAACTTTCTCATTATTAGGTATAGCTGTAGAGTTTTTTTTTTTTTTTTAATTATGCATCCCAGTGGCATTTTTTTATTTTTATTTTTTATTTTATTGATTTTGTACAGAGAGGAAGGGAGAGAGATAGTTAGAAACATCGATGAGAGAGAGTCATCGATCAGCTGCCTCTTGCATACCCCCTACTGGGGATATGCCCGCAACCAAGGTACATGCCCTTGACCGGAATCGAACCCGGGACCTTTCAGTCCCCAAGCTGACGCTCTTATCTATTGAGCCAAACTGGTCCCGGCGGCTAGATAGTCTTTCTTAAGTTGAGGAAAGTCTCCTGTCTTTGTAGTTTACTGAAAATTTTATAAATGAGTGTTGGAGTCACTGCTACATTTTCCTGTAGCTGTTCTGAAGGCTATCTCTTGAGTATTCAGTATTATAGACAATCTGATAGATAAACCTGTGGCCAGTTCTTAGGTATATTCATAATTATTTTTTTAGAATTCACTGACAGTCACTGAGTGTTTGTTACCAGGAACTAAGTAAAAATTATTAAAAAGATACTTCACATACAAAATTTGTAGTCTCTAAGCAGGTGATAATTATATTATAACTAGATGCCTGGTGCTCGGATTCATGCATTGGTGGGGTCCCTTGGCTTGGCCTGTGTTGATTGGGCCAAAACTAGCTCTCCGACATCCCTAAGGGGTCCTGGATAATGAGAGGGCACAGGCCAGGCCAAGGGACCCTACTGGTACACAATCGGGGCTGGGGAGGGACCACAGGAGGGCTCCAGGGTGTGCCCAGCCCATCTTGCCCATTCGTGATTGGCCAGACCCCAGCAGCAAGCTAACTACTGGTTGGAACATCTGCCCCCTGGTGGCCAGTGCATGTCATAGCGACTGGTTGAACAGTCACACCAACAGGACACTTAGCATATCAGGCTTTTATTATATAGGATGTGATAAAAGAAGTAGATATTCTATGGGAGCATATGGGCCAATCACCTACCCAGACACAGCTAGAATTGAGGTTGAGGTTGTTCGAACATCTTTCAGAAATAATGTATTAGTTTGTTTTTAAATTCCTTCTAGTGAAAATGCTTAGGTGAAGGAGGCTCACCTTTGTGAGAGTCTGAGTGTGTAAGAATAAGCTCCTGAAAGCAAAAAAAGCCTCTGCTTTCAATTTTTCAATAAAGAATTGAAATTTTTAAAGCTCTGAAGAAATATTCTCATGTCATAGAGGACAATTTAAGAAGCTGATGAGAAAATCATATGAATTATGAATGTTTGGCTCAAAAGATTATTCATCATACAAAAGATTTACTAATTATAAAGAAAAAATAGATAATTTACCCTTACTAAAATTAAGATCTTCTATTCATTAAAATCTACCAATAAGAAAGTGACACATACTGGGGGAAAATATTTGCAGTATATATCTGACATGACTAAGAACTCTTATCCAGAAAGTATAAAGAATGCCTACAAATCAGTAAGAACAATGGGCAAAATACTTGAAGAGACCCTTCAAAAAGAGGATATTCAAATGACCATTAAACATATGAAAAGTTGCTGAGCATCATTATTCATTAGGGAAATGAAAATTCAAACCACAGTAAAATGCACTGCACCTGCCATAATAGCTAAAATGAAAAGGATGGACTATGTCAAAGCATTGACAAGGAATAACAAATTTTCATATATTGCTTGTGGGAATATAAATTATATAACCATGTTAGAAAATTGCTTAATTCAGCTATTCCATTACTCCTAGATACATACTAAACAGAAATTTGTTCACATGTTTGCTAAAAGATAGATGTGTTTGTGTGGGAGTGTGTTTGTATCAAAAAGTTCATACACTATTGATAGTTATAAAAACTGATAATCATGGATTAATTTTATATTCACACCTTTGAATATTTTAGAGAAACAAGCATGAGTAACCTATTACATACAACAATATAATAGAAGAATATCATATACATAACATTAAGAATAAAACTAAACACAAAATAATATATTCTGTATGATTACCCTTTTATGAAGAGCAAAAACAGGAAAAACTAATCCATGCTGGTAGAAACCTATATAGGGAAATGGTGAAGAATGGAAGGGAGCATGAAGAGAGTTTCTAGGTTTGATGATAATGTTCTCTTTCTTGATCTAGGTGCTGGTTACACAGGGACGTTGGGCTTGTGAAATATCTAGCTGTGCACTTATTTTAGCCCCTCACCCGAGAACATGCTTTTACTGATTTTAGAAGGAGAGGGGAAAAAAGAGGAAGAAACATGGATGTGAGAGAGAAAAATCTGTTGGTTGCCTCTCACATACACCCTGAACAGGGATTGAACCCACAACCTGGGTATGTGGAACCCGGAATGAAATCTTGGACCTTTTGGCTGTATGTGATAATGCTCCAAACAAGTGAGCAATACATGCCAAGGCTAGCTGTGCATTTTTGACATGTTATGATGCTGTTAAGTTATTTTTTAAAAAGTGTTGCTTTTAAATGTTATAAGAAAACTATAATAAAGCTGAAAGCTTTACAATCTAGAATCCATTATATTGGTCATTAAACGTTAAGGTTAAAAAGTACAAAAATAGTTCCTTAGCTAAATTAAAATTTAAATGTTTGGGGAAAGGACATAATTTTAGGATAATTGTAATTTTAATTCAACTAGTATTAAATCTTCCTCTTATAATAAAGCAGCATTTTGAACTTCTTACATTGTAACATGTTTTCAAGATTTGGTTTTGACTATTACATACTAATCAGTTTTATTATATATGACCAAAGTATTAAGTTTTTATTTTGTTAATTATAACACAACATGAAAAATTCATATCTCAAAAGGGGTGACTAGAAAATATTTTCTTTTTTCAATCTTAAATGATTTTTTTATTAGAAAAAGAGAGAAGATGAGTAAAAGTGTGTTTTGGTTCATTCTTACCCTCAGAAGAGGAACTATAAATAACTGTGCTTATTCTTTCTCCTCTTCCTATCAAGGTAGTGTTCTAGTTATGTAATGTATACAGACATAATTATAACAGATAAACATGCCAATCCATTACTGGTTGTTTGTTTTTCACAGTCAATTCCATCTTCTCCAGAACCAATTAGTCTTCTTACAGAAGATGTTAGTACAAACTCCAATGGTCCAAAACCTGCAGAAGTTGTGCTAGAGGATGACACAGAAGATCTTTTTGCAGGTAATTGTAACTATCTTTGTTTTTTCTTAATAATAGGCAATTATAGTGTATATCCTGTTAGAAAGTATTCTATAAAGCAAAATTAACATTTTGTGTAAAATGTTAGTGGTAGCTTTTCTTGTTAACAACTTAGATGGATAAGAAATTTCTTGTTAGATAACTTTGTGAAAAATATAAACTGTTGAGAGAAGTAAAAATGGAATATTTCCTGGCTTTAAGCTTGTGAAAATAAGTCACATATTATAATTCATTGTTTTGATCAGAGCTTAGAGTAAAAAAATTAATGGTGTGTCATTTATGTTTTGAGAAATAATTGTGATTATATTTTTTATTAATTACATGTTGTCACAAACCAACATTAAACTCTGGATTTAAAAATTACTTAATTTAGCCGAAACCGGTTTAGCTCAGTGGATAGAGCGTCAGCCTGCAGACTGAAAGGTCCCAAGTTTATTCCAGTCAAGGGCACATACCTTGGTTGTGGGCACATCCCCAGTAGTGGGTGTGCAGGAGGCAGCTGATGGATGTTTTTCTCTCATCGATGTTTCTTACTCTATCTCTCTCCCTTCTTCTCTGAAAAAAAATCAATAAAATATATATATAATATTTTTAAAATTACTTAACTTATATACTTAAAATCTGTTTATTTTAATGCATCAGTATTTATCACCTTTCATTTTAATTCAATTTTAGGTGAGAAAATTGATGTTTGAGGAATTGAATTTTGATATAAGGTCAGGGTTTGGTGTAGTCCATTCTTTAAAAAAAATTGGACTCTCTTCAAAACAATGTTTGTGTTTAAAAATTAAAATTTTAAGTATAACTTAATGTTTGGATATTAAAAAGCCAAATCCTCCTTAGAAGAATGTCACAAAAATATAAAATAATAATTGTGTGTTGAATACTTATGTTCTTAACTTTTATTAGTATTTGAATATTCAAACCATTCTGTATTTTTATACAATTATGTTGAAGATATAGTCCTCAATCTCAAAGATCTATATAATTTCTTGCTTGTTTAGCTCCATGAAAAGTTTTCACTGTAGCCATAGCTGGTTTGGTTCAGTGGACAGAATGCCGATCTACAGACTGATGGGTTCCAGTCAAGGCCACATGCCCAGGTTGAGGGCTCGATCCCCAGTTGGGGGCATGCAGGAGGCAGCCGATCAATGATTCTCTCTCATCATTGATGTTTCTATCCTCCTTCCCTCTCTGTAATCAATAAAAAATATATTAGAAAAAAAAAAAAAGGAAAGAAGCCAGTTGTAGCGCAAATACTGAACGATTCCACTTATATGAAGAATCTAAAATAATAGAAAAAATGTAAAAGTGTTTTCACTGTAAATGAATTCATGTATTTTATCATGTCAGAAAATTTAAAATGTTATACCAAATTAGAGGTCTGGTGCACGAAATTTGTGCACTTGGGGCGGGGGCGGGGGGCGCGGGGGGTGTCCCTCAGTATGGCCTGTGCCCTCTCACAGTCCAGGAGCCCTTGGGGTATGTCCAACTGACGGCTTAGGCCTGTTCCCCTTGCGGAGCAGGCCTAAGCCATTAGTCAGACATCCTTAGTGCTGCCGCAGAGGTGGGAGAGGCTCTCACCACCACTGCTGTGCTCGCCAGCTGTGAGCCCAGCTTCTGGCTGAGTGGCCCCTGGCACTGGCCACCAGAGGGCAGCTCCTTAGTTGAGTGTCTGCCCCCTGGTGGTCAGTGCACATCATAGTCATTCTGCCGTTTGGTTGACTTGCATTTTAGCCTTTTATTATATAGGATACCAATCATACCTCTCCTTTTTTATAGCTACCTAATAGCGTAGAAAAAAATCATAGTTAACTAAAGTTGTACTGTTCTTTTGTTTGTTTCCTTTTGTGGACTTTTCCCAGGGAGTCCTTAAAAGTTTTTTCATAGCATTTGTTTTGTTCTAAAAGTTGACTTCTTTCTGTACTTAAATAGGTAGTATTAATCTAGAATTGTGTGTATTCCTTTTCTAATTTGGGTCATATATAGAAGTTTTGTATTACCCATTTTATTAAAGACTCTTTATCTTTTTTTTTTTAATCTTTATTGTTCAGATTATTACAAATGTGTTCTTCTTCCCCACCTCAATTGCTCCTCTCCACCAGGTTCCCACCCTACCCTCTGTCCTTTCCCTATCCCCCATTGTCCTCATCCACAGGTGCACAGTTTTTGTTCAGTCTCTTCCCTCAGCCGCACTCCCCTTTTCCCCGAGAATCGTCAGTCCACTCCCCTTCCATACCTCTGATTCTATTATATTCACCAGTTAATATTGTTCATCAGATTTTTTAATTCCCTTGGTTTTTAGATTCACTTGTTGATAGTTACGTATTTGTTGTTCATAATTTTTATCTTTATCTTCTTCCTCTTCCTAAATAACCCCCTTTTGCAATTCATATAATTCTGGTTTGGAGGTGATGAACTCTTTAAGCTTTTTTTTATTAGTGAAGCTCTTTGTCCTTCGATTCTGAGTGATAGCTTTGCTGGGTAGATTATTTTTGGCTGTAGGTTCTTGCTATTCATCACCTTGAATATTTCTTGCCATTCCCATCTGGCCTGCATGGTTTCTGTTGAGAAATCAGCTGACAATCGTATGGGTGCTCCTTTATAGGTAACTGCCTGCTTTTCTCTTGCTGCTTTATAATATTCTCTCTTTGTCTTTTGCTCTTGGAATTTTAATTATGATGTGTCTTGGTGTGGTCCTCCTTGGATTCCTTTTGTTTGGTGTTCTGCGGGCTTCCTGGACTTGTAAGTCTATTTCTTTCCCCAGGTGGGGGAAGTTTTCTGTCACTATTTCTTCCAGTATTCTTTTGGTATTTTGCTTCTCTCTTCTTCTGGAATCCCCATAATTCTGATGTTGGTTCGCTTGAAATTGTCCCAGAGGTTTCTTACACTATCTTCAACTTTCTGGATTCTCTTATCTTCTCGCTTCTGCAAAGGAGTGTCCTCTGGCTCTTTGTGTTCTAAATCTTTGTCTTGATTCTTGAGATCTTCCAGTCTGTTTTTAGGACTTTGTATAATATTTTTTATTTCAGACAATGTTTTCTTCATTTCTAGTTGATCCCTTATTATTTCTAGTTGCTCCCTTTTCATATCCTCATAGGTCTCATTTATTTTATCGGCCTTTTTTAGGATATTGTTGAATAACCTTATAACTGTAGTTTTGAACTCAATGTCCAATCTTTTCTTTTCCTCCATCTCCTTCCTTTGTGTCCTTCCTCTTGTCTGCATTTTAGTTTCCCTGATTTGATGGAATGGCTTTGTGTGCTAGGTGTTCTGGTAGAGCCCAGTAGCACAGCTTTCCCAGTTACCTGCGGTGGACAATCTTGGTGTAGCCCTTTGTGGACTGTGTTTGCAGTCTTGTTGTTAAGCCTTGCTTATTGTTGGTATCACTGGGATGCGTTGATCTCCAAGCCAATTGGCTGTGAGAATCAGCAGTGTCTCAGCTAGGAGGGCTTCTGTACTCTGCTTGGATAGGGTGGGGTCTTGGGTGGCGCAGACAATCTTTGGTTCCCTGTCAGTCTCACCTTAGAAAAGTCCTGTTCGCGGAGAGTTTCGGAAGATTGGTTGCAGGTGCGCGCACCTCTTTGGTAAAGGCGCAGACAAGCTTTGGATTCCGGCCAGTTCCTCCTTAGAGAAAGCCAGCCTCTGAGAGAGCTTCTGTGCTCAGCCACAGATGGGGCGGAGTCTCGGGGTGGTGCAGACAAACTTTGTTTTCCCTTTGGCTCCTCCCCAAGCCCCGCAGTAATGGCCTCTGGCTTCACACACCTCCGAGAGATCTCTACCCACTGCCTGATAGTCTGGCCTCTCCCTGTCTGGGGCCGTCTATCAGAGCAATAGGCTGATTCTATTTTACTCTCGAACAAGAAAGCCAGCCAAGCATTAGCTGTCCGCCCTCTCCTTGTGCCAGGAGTAAGCCAGTAGCGAACTCAGCCCAGCCCGCCCTCTCTGCACGCCAGGGAGTAATCCAGCAGCAGTCTTGTCCGGCCCTTTCTCTCCCCACACCGAGAGTAAGCCAGCGCCTTTTCGCACACACAGTTCTCCGTACCTTCACAGTTCCTGAGGCTCAGCGTGCCTTCTCTCTCCTTCCCAGACGGCATAGCCTCCTTTTAGCTAGCCGTTCGGCGCTTTAGGGCAATGCCTCCCCTGTTTTCCAGTTCTAAATTCAAATTTGTTGTGGTAGGCTGCATTCGGGTGTCTACCCTATGCCGCCATCTTGGTTTTTCTCTCTCAGACTCTTTTATCTTAAAATCACATAAAATGTGCTGAAACTAGAACAACAGAACTGTGTGTGTGTGTGTGTGTGTGTGTGTGTGTGTGTGTGTGTGTACACGTGTATGTATGCATGAGCCCAAGGAATGAAGATTTGGGGGTTTTTTTAGCTTGTGCAATTTGCCACGTTAGGCCTAACAGTAATATTTATTTGCCCACTTAACTTGATCTTTTTCATGTTTTAGTCTGCCTAGCAGTATATACTAAATATTGTGATTCAAATAGGGTCAATGCCCATGTTTGTTTTAAAAGAAAAGAAACAGGTACTGAACACTAAATATAGTCATGTTTCCTTTGTTATTTGTCAATACTTTTTACGCTTTATCTTTTTCCTAAACTCAGCTGCATTTCATAATCTGATCATTTTTATGTGAATGAGTTAATACTACACTTGCATTTTATTTATGAAGCCTTTAAGTAAATTGATCATTCATTCCCCCTTCAATGGAGGAGTATGGTTCTAGGAAACCATAACAGAGAGTAGCAATGTTACCAGAAAACTATTGTCCAGTAATAAGACCATGTACCTATTTCCCCTATATCAGAGGAGAAAATACAGATATTGCTGTAGTGATTTGGTCGATTTGATTTTTAAACTATGAGGGGATTAAATTATATTGGTATTTACACTGATGCATTTTATGTAGCATTTCAAATATTAGTTATGTCAGAAGTGGTACCAGAAAAAGTTTAAATGTGTATGTTACTATTATTAACTTAGAGAGTGCTCATCAAATAAGGTTGGCTTCAGAGCCTCTCTCCACCATTTGTTACAATCTGCACTGTACTTCACTGAGCATACTTTAGGAAACTGTCCGAGAGGAGTAAGTGAGGGTGTGCATATTGAAATTGTCTTGGACTTTTAGAACTTGTTTCTGACAGAATAGTTAGCTTATTGCACTTATGTTTCTTTTATCAAATAATACCAATTGTAAGTTAAATGAGTATTGCTTTGTTTACAAATTCTCCGGTGTCTATCATATGTTTAAACTGTTATTTAGCTGACATTTGTAATTATCCTTAAAGTATCTCTTCCAAAGAAAAGTTAATCTTTATACTTAGTACCTATGGGGCATCTCTGGAACCTTTAGATCTGCTTTAAATTAAATTAAACTTCATGAACATATAGCATGTTACTTTACTTTTGATAAAAGAAGTCATGAAAGAATTTAAGGTAGACTGTGTATTAGCATGCTGAATCTAAGTTTGTATCCATTTATTTCTATTTCCCCCCCCACCATATTTATTACTTAGATCATTTTTAGTTTTTATTTCTTTTATGAAACAGCTTATTAGAGACTATACAAAGAATACAAAAAGCTGGTTTATCAGTGAAGTAAAATGTAATTGAAAAATTAAAATGACTTTGAGATGCACTGATATCTTAATAAAGTTATAATGCCTTTCACAGTTTAATATCTATGGGTTTCTTGTCAGTAACAGTACCTCCTTCAAATAATTTTTATTTTTTTATTTTGCTTTATTTGCTGCTTGTGGTTTTACTTGTTTGTAGATTAAAGCTTTCACACTTTCTACCTTTGATATTGCTGCTTATATTTATTGCTATTGGTTTCATTAAAAAAATAAATATTAGCAATTTTAACAGCCTGAAGTTGCATGTAAGATTTTAATTTGTTAGGTTAGGTTCATCTATCGTGTATTCAACATCTATAGTCTTATTTTCTTCCTCTGGTTACCATAGTTTGAAGGATTTTGATTATTATTTTTAATATAAAAAATGGAGCAATGGCCGGGACCGGTTTGGCTCAATGGATAGAGCGTCGGCTTGGGGACTGAAGGGTCCCAGGTTCGATTCCGGTCAAGGGCATGTATCTTGGTTGCGGGCATATCCCCAGTAGGGGGTGTGCAAGAGGCAGCTGATCAATGACTCTCTCATCGATGTTTCTAACTCTATCTCTCTCCCTTTCTCTGTATAAAAATCAATAAAAATATATATTTTTTTAAAAATGGATCAATGCTAAATAAAGATCTCATCAACATGAGATAGCCAGTAAGAGTAGATTGATAAAATGCAAGTTTTTACATTTAAATGTTAACATATTTACCTTATTTCTGGTATGCTTTTTGAGGTGTTCAAATTAAAGTGGCTGGCAGGTATGATATTTTCCATTTCTTTGTGTTTCTACATTGCATCTAGCACTGTGTTAAATAGCTGATAGGTAATTTGTTGATTTTGCTTTAAATACATTTAATTTCAGATTTTTTAAGTGAATTAAATTAAAACAAACACCTATTTGCTTTGTGTCATATTTATGTATTCTAATATCTAGTAATCTTTAGATCTAAAGAATTTTCTGTAACAAATTTTTAATTCCAGTTGGGATATTTCTGGGCAGCTTTCTGCCATAAAATTTGTGTTTTTATATATAAAATAATAAATGTTAGTCTGAATAAAAGATTTTGGAAGGTAAGTTACCACAAGTGTAAGATATATTACAAATCTAAGCACAAATGAGGGTGGAATTATTCACATCACTGCTTTCCTACTAGCTTTATTCATACCACTAGATGATAATGTATAGATATTTAAGTTCACTTACTGGAATTCTTCCTAAAATCAACGAAGTCACTGTTGGTTTTAGAATTTTGATAGACAACTAAAGAAGGATTCATAAAATTATAACAATTATTTGTAAATAACATTATTTTGGTATTTATTTGTGGGAAGTATAAAATAGTTTTCATAATTCATTAACTTTTATCTAGACTATTGGGGGTTTCTTACCAACGTCCTTAACTGACCTATTTAATTTGTATCTAGAAGCCACAGAAGAAGTTTCTCTGGACAGTCCAGAAAGGGAACCTATCCTCTCCTCTGAACCTTCTCCTGCAGTCACACCTGTGACCCCTACTGCACTCATTGCTCCCAGAATTGAATCAAAGAGTATATCTGCTCCTGTGATCTTTGATAGATCTAGGGAAGAGGTATGGAAAAATTTTATATTCTAAATTAATAAGTGACTATTAAGTTTTTTGTTCTCCACCCAACATCACTCTCCTATTAGTCATTTCTAATCAAAGCTTTATAGACATTTTGGGAAAAGAGCTATGGACTAGAGTATGTGACTTGGCTTTTTAATCCAGTAACTTGGGCAAATCACTTTCCTTTGTTTATTTTTTAATCCTCACGCGAGGATATCTTTTGAAGAGAGACAGAGAAACATAGATCAGTTACCTTCCATATGCAACCGACTGGGGATTGAACCCACAACCTGGGTTTGTGCCCAGACCAGGAATTGAACCTGCAACCTTTTTGGTTCATAGAACAATGCTCTAAATGACCAGGGCAAAACCACTTTCCTTATTAAGGCAAGGAGTTTGTCATTTGGGACCGTATCATCTGTGCCTCTCAAGATTCCTATGCTAGTCAAATAAAATGATGTATGAAAGGGCTTTGAAAACTTAATCACAACAAAGTGATATTTTGAACAATTTTGAGTTATATGCTTCATATGTATTACATTTCAAATATAGCTTCCTTTTAAAACTGTAAGAGTACAAACAAAAAGATTATAGTTAAAATACTCATTTTTATTTTAAATTGTCTTTGACTTTAATATTGCTTTAAAAATGAGCAATATTTAACAATTTCTGTGCTGCTTGAGAATAATAAAACTTTCCTGCAGAGTTGTTATTAGGTTTGTTTATTTTAAATGCCATTAAAGTACTTCTGTGGTCTCAAAGTAGCTTATTAGTATAATTTCTTTAAGTATCTAATAATCTACTGGCAAAAGTAATGGCTACTTGCTACTTATTAAAGAATAGAGGTGCAACTGAAAAATGCTACTATTAAAAATAATGAAGGAGCTAATTATTTTAATAATCTGAGTCTGAAGATTTGATATGTAGAAAAAAATCCACAGTATCTCTACAGAAGACTAAAATGATTTTTCTTCATCTAAGAAGTTACAAGAACACGAGATTTTGTGTTACTTTTCCAAATGGTCCTTTTCCTATTTCTTTGTGTGTATGTGTTTTTACATAGTGAGAAAATACGAAAGCTTTTATCTCTTTAGAAATGGAGTGCTGAATGGCTTTTTATTTTTATTTCATTTTTTAATTGATTTCAGAGAGGAAAGGAGAGGAGAGATAGAAACATCAATGATGAGAGAGAATCATTGACTGGCTGCCTCCTGCATGCCTCTTTTGGGGATTGAGCCCCAAACCTGGGCATGTGCCCTTGTCACTGAGCCAAACCAACTCTGAATGGCTTTTTAAATTGATTGGTGTGACAGTGACCTTAGTAAAAGTTAGATGGTAAAAATTATAGTGTTATGTCAATAGTATAAATTAGAATTTTTAACTCCAAAAAAAAATATTTTCTAGATTGAAGAGGAAGCAAATGGAGATATTTTTGATATAGAAATTGGTGTATCAGATCCAGAGAAAGTTGGTGAGTCAATATTTATTATATTTTTTACTTTGCTTTTTTTTAATAATTAACTTGGTTGTTAATAAATACATTGTTACAGTGCTAAATGGAACTTTTATTTTTAAGCTTTGGGGGGCTTTTGTTCCTAATTTTGCTTTATTTTTTTCTTAGCTTCATTGAGGTCTAGTTAAATAAAAATAGTATATATTTAGGATGGTGATGATTTAATGTATATATACATTATGAAATTAGCACAGTCAAGTTAATCACATTACCTCACACATTTAGTTACATTTGTGTGTGTGTGTGGTTAAATTCATGTTTTTTAATAGTATTATTTGACTTTTCTTATAGGTGATGGCATGAATGCTTACATGGCATATAGAGTAACAACAAAGGTGAGCCTTTTGCTCCTTTAAAAAATACTAGTTCTCACTAAGTATAGTACAAGGGTGATTGAGATGTAAGTGATCCCTTTATTTACCAAGGTGACCATCCAGTAAAGATTGCAAATAGATTGCTACATTGAGTTGTGAATGTAAAGCTCCAAGGGCTAGGTAGAGTATTCTTTGAAAATATGCAGGAAGGGGCCTAATTAGACAAGCGTAGGAGGAAGAAATGAGAATAGCATGTTCCAGGCAAAGGAATTTGTTTGTGTAAAAGCCAAAAGTCAAGAAAGCATTATATCTTCTAGGATCTGCAAGAAGTAGAACCTGATGGAATTATTTGGCAATAAGCCTCCCTATACTATAAACAGCCACCTTAAGGAATTTGAACTTCATCCTGAGGATAATGGAGAGCCATTGAAGAGATTCAAACAAAAGTGTGGCACAATTAGATTTTTGATTTAGAAAGATGTTGAGACTCAGTATGAATTGGGAGTATCAAAGCAGAGGTCAGGATTTCTAATTAAGAGGCCACTGCAATTTTTAAAAAATACATTTTTATTGACTTCAGAGAGGAAGAGAGATAAAAACATTAATGATGAGAGAGAATCATTGATCAGCTGCCTCCTGCACACCCCCTGGGATCCAGCCTGAAACTAGGGTATGTGCCCTTGACTGTAATTGAACCTGGTACCCTTTAGTGTGCAGGCTGATGCTCTATCCACTGAGCCAAATCAGCTAGGGTGCCATTGCAATTTTAAAAAGGATTGTAGGCCTTCAAGTCTTCAAAAGAAGAGAGATGGTCTGTAGGAACCCTAGCTATGAGAAGTAATACTTTACATAAGGTGTTGGTTCTGGGGGTGAGTGAAATAAAAGGCTTTTTGAGTTGTGTAGGATTTTTTTTCTAAAGTAGACCAGTGTAAGTATATACATGCATATTCACAATTATATATAACATTGACTTCTGAATAATTGACTAGTATTCAGAATTTGAAATATCTCTTTTTCACTTGTAGACTTCTCTTTCCATGTTCAGTAAGAATGAATTTTCAGTTAAAAGAAGATTTAGTGATTTTCTTGGTTTGCATAGCAAGTTAGCAAACAAGTATTTACATGTCGGCTATATTGTACCACCAGCTCCAGAAAAGAGTATAGTAGGTAAGTGTGAATAAAAAAAATAACTTTTGTTACTGTTACTAGTTCAATTATAACTATAAATTTCTAGATTTCATGATCATTCACTATCATGACATCTCATAATATGTAAAAATACTGAATTTAAATATTCCATTTATGACAGTTATTTATCAACCAACTACTGTATAAGCTAATATAATGATGTTAATATTGGGTCATAATTTGCTATGTTGAAAGCACTTTAAAACCCTTTTTAGGGTCATTAGAGTTCCATGTTACTGAGTAACATTTAGAGGGTGTTTAATATTATTAGCATATTAATAATGTTTTCTAAGGGATGTTTGACTCTCAGTTATATATTGTTCAAAAAGAAGATTTGATCTAACCTTGCTATTTAAGTGTAGTTTATTTCATATCCTCAATATAATGTTTAAAAACATTGTTATTTATACAAATAGTTAAGAATATGCAGAGCCGAAGCCGGTTTCTGCAGACCAAAGGGTCCCGGGTTCGATTCCGGTCAGGGGTATGTGCCTTGGTTGCGGGCACATCCCCAATAGGGGATGTGCAGGAGGCAGCTGATCGATGTTTCTCTCTCATCAATGTTTCTAGCTCTCTATCCCTCTCTCTTCCTCTCTGTAAAAAATCAATAAAATATATTTTAAGAAAAAAATAATATGCAGAAAATTACAAAAGAAGAGAATCTCCACTGTCTCACCATTAAGACATGTCATCTCTCAAAATTTTGTATTTTTCCCAATCCTTTCATTCATAGGTTTCTATGTACCCTACCTTATATTTCTTTATACGTGATTATTTTTCTTCAAAATATTCTAAATTGAATCACTCTGATCTTTAGTATTTTACTTTTTAAAAAATATATTTTATTGATTTTTTTACAGAGAGGAAGAGAGAGGGACAGAGAGTCAGAAACAACAATGAGAGAGAAACATCAATCAGCTGCCTCCTACACACCCTTTACTGGGATGTGCCCGAAACCAAGGCACATGCCCTTGCCCAGAATCGAACCCGGGACCTTTCAGGCCGCAGGCTGATGCTCTATCCACTGAGCCAAGCCAGTTTCGGCTTATTTTACTTTTTTTGACATTTGAAGAACAATTTTATCTTTTATGATTTTGAAATCTGATATATTTAATGGGTTTGTTATATTTTTTCTCTTTTTTAAATTCAAAAATCTAGTTGTACCCTGGCCAGTTTGGCTTAGTGGATAGAGCATCAGCCTAGGGATCAAAGGGTCCTGGGTTTGATTCCAGTCAAGGGCTTGTATCTCAGTTGTAGGCTTTTCCCCAGCTCGGGCCCTGGTCAGGGTGTGTGCAGGAGGCAACCAGTTGATGTGCTTCTCTCACATCTATAGTTCTCCAGAAGTCTTTTCCCTCTCTCTTTAAAAAAATCAACGGAAAAACATCCTCAGGTGAGGATTAAACTAAATAAATAAAATAAAATAAAAATCAATAAAAACATTTTAAAAGTCCTTCAACTTCTTAATCTCAAAACTTATTCTTAAATTTATTTAGTATTGAGAACTCTATAAAGAGCTTTTAGTTTTGTGTGATATATTGATATTTATTATATAGTAATGTTTTAAAATTGTATTTATTGCTTCATTAAAAATAATAAACTTCATTACCTGTTAAGTAAAATTTTCTGAAAAATAATTTTTGTTACACAAAAATAAATACTAGTAGCTTGTTTTTTTATTTTTGTTCAACACTTTTGCAAATTTCTTTAATTTCTGGCTTAAAAGAAGATAGCGATTTTTTTCTGCTTCTGCACTCAGCCTGTTGTTATATAACAAATATGATCTTTTTTTTAAAAAAATCTTTATTCAGATTATTACAATTGTTCCTCTTCTTCCCCTCCCCCCCCCCATGGCTTCCCTTCACCCAGTTCCCAACCCACCCTCTGCCCTTAACCCCCCCCCATCCTCATCCATAGTGTATGATTTTTGTCCAGTCTCTTCCCGCTCACCCCACACCCTCCCCCCCCCCCGAGATTGTCAGACCACTCCCTTTCTATGCCTCTGATTCTATTATATTCACTATTTTATTATGTTCATCATATTTTTTATTCACTTGATTTTTAGATTCACTTGTTGATAGATATGTATTTGTTGTTCACCATTTTTTATCTTTACCTTTTTCTTCTTCCTCTTCTTAAAGAATACCATTCAGCATTTCATATAATACTGGTTTGGTGGTGATGAACTTCTTTAACTTTTTCTTATCTGTAAAACTCTATCTGCCCTTCAATTCTGAATGATAGCTTTGCTGGGTAGAATAATCTTGGTTGTAGGTTCTTGCTATTCATCACTTTGAATATTTCTTGCCACTTACGTCTGGCCTGCATAGTTTCTGTTGAGAAATCAGCTGACAGTCGTACGGGTGCTCACTTGATGGAAGAATTTCAGTGCTGGAGACACCCTTATGAGGCAAGACTTGCTTCAGTGGGGCTTTGGTGCTCACTGAGTTTGCCCCCTGAGTGTGTCCCTTATGGATCTGAGGAATCGTAATCTGGATGGTCCTACTCTGACCCCTGTGTACACTGGCTCTTGGATCTCCAAGGAGGTGCTAATTTAGCCTCTGCCTGAGGCCACCTAGCAGGAGCTATTGAGAGAACTGCAGATTCCTCTTTGTTTGGGTTTTGGAGGTGCCCAGATGAGGCCCAGCTGTGAAGCAGTGCAAGCTGCTGTGGAGCCTTGGGCTTTCTTTTGGATGTTCTGGGACTCTCTGACTCAGCTGCAGTTTGATAGGTAAGTTTAGATTTCAAAGGACTAGGCCATTCATATGCAAAAGCCTCTGTGTGCAGCTTGGATGGGGCCTAGTCTCCGGGCAGAGCAAACAGCAATGGCTTCACGTCAGCCCTTCCTTAAGAGGCCGCTGGGTCTCAATGTCCCTTGGTTATCACTGCAAGCACCTCTGAAAGAAAGCCGCCCTCGAGTTTCACCTGCTGCCAGACAATCCAGTTTCTCCCCGTATGAGTCTAGGTCCCCAGAATCTCGCCCAGAACTGGAGTTCAGAACAGTAGGGATCTTTTTGTCTCCCTCCTGCTTGAGAAAGCCAGCTGTGCACTCAGTTGCCAGCCCTCTTCGTGCGTGCCTCGGTACCTCTGCACTTCCGCAGCTCCTGTGGTCTTAGTGTGCTTTTCCCTTCCCTTCTAGTTGTAGAATTTCCACTCAGCCAGTCTTCCTATGGTTCTGGATGATGTCCGTTTTGTCTTTTAGTTACAGTTTTTGAAATTGTGTGAGGCAGCAGTTCAGGTGTTTACCTTTGCTACCATCTTGGTTTCTCCCACATATAATCTTTATAAAATTTTATGGAGCTTTCATGAAAGAATGAGTAAGAAATACAAATAGTAGCTTAATTTTTTTAATGAAAATAGACTTGTTCACTACCTTCTTTCCCCTAAATAAGTGTCTCTGAAACCTTCCAAGTATTCTGACCACACTTTGAGAACTTCTGGTCTAATTACTAGTCTTATTTTCCTTTTCTCTAAAATATCACAATGATATCTTTTGGCATTCTGCTATCTACACAGGGAACTTAAATTTATTCATTATAAATTACTTATTATTAATATTGGGGGTTTTTCTTTGACTTTAAGTTGTACAACTATTTTTATACACCAAAAGAGAAAAATGATTATTTCTCTCATTTTGGTGGCTGACTATGATAGTTTAGTCTTTAAACATTGACCAAAAAGAAAAGATTCAAAAACTAAATTTTCATATTTAAGTATTGTTTCAAACTAATATTTTGCCTTAGTAATCTTCAACCTTCTATAAATGATTGCAATATAATAAATAGCACAAAAAATTTCAAAATAAAAGAAATTATATCCTTAGAGCATTCTTTTCTGACATTGATTCTGATAGCTTTCAAAGGGTCCTAGGGGACAGTGACACAGCTATGTTCATATTATTCATAGATAGCCCATTAAATTGTAAGACTATCAGTTAAATTATAGGAATAATTAACATTCATTGAGTGTTTGCTGTACTAAGGCACTATGCTAAATTTATGTGCATTTTCATTTGATCTTAACAACAACTTTAGGTTAACTTATTGTGCTTATTGAATAAGTAAGAAAGCTAAGGTTCATCAAGGTTATATATAATATACCTCATGCCATACAGCTACCAAGAGGCAGAGCTGAGCTTTAAATGCCAGATGGTCATCTTACTCCAGAGATTGTACCTTTTTTTTTTTTTTTAATATATTTTATTGATTTTTTACAGAGGAAGGGAGAGAGAGAGAGAGCTAGAAACGTCGATGAGAGAGAAACATCGACCAGCTGCCACTTGCACACCCTCTACTGGGGATGTGCCTGCACCAACGTACATGCCCCTGACCAGAATCGAACCTGGGACCTTTTAGTCCACAGACTGGCGCTCTATCACTGAGCCAAACCGGTTTGGGCAGAAATTGTACTCTTAATCACTATTTTATTCTGTTTCTAATTCTATTTAGTATGTTGTGGGGGGTTTTTTTTGTTTGTTTTGTTGGGTTTTTTTTAAAATATATTTTATTGTTTTTTTACAGAGAGGAGGAGAGAGGAGGGATAAAGAGCTAGAAATGTCGATGAGAGAGAAACATCGACTAGCTGCCTCTTGCACACCTCCTACCGGGGATGTGCCCGCAACCAATGTACATGCCCTTGACCAGAATCGAACCCGGGACCTTTCAGTCCGCAGACCGAAGCTCTACCACTGAGCCAAACCGGTTTTGGCTGTTGTGTTTTTTTTCCAATACGATTATGATTTGCCTTTATTTTTTACCTAAAATAGAAAATCTCTGGTTTAAAAAAAAAAACAAAAAAACAAAACTAATGCTATGTGATTGTAGAATGATCTAATATACATTTGAGAATTTATTTTTTAAAAGATATAAAAAAAGAGATTAGCAAAAAAAAAAAAAAAAAAAAAAATCTTTTCAAATAGTAAGATGAAGCCAATATAAAGTTCCTTGTCTGCAGCCCAGGACCAAACCAGAGATGGTCGGACCTGCATCACCACCATTTGTCCACCAACCAGATCTGAAATATCATGGCTGACATGTACACATAAGGAACTATTTGACATTGAAATTGGGACTCAAAAGAACTGTTGGCCCAGAAAGGAACTCATTACAGACTGATTCATTTGCCTCTCAGTATAACCATTATGGCTTGTCGCAGTTTAGGTTCTTACAAGGATATTTCTTGGATCACATGATCTCACACATCTAGAGGAAATAATGAACAACATAACTGATGAACATAAACAGACCCAGAGAAAGAGAAGCAGCGATCAGACTCTCAAACCTCAGAGGGAAAGTAGGGGAGAGTGGGGGTAAGGGGAGAGATCAACCAAAGGACTTGTGTGCATGCATATGGGCCTAGCCAGTGGCCATGGACAACAGGGGGTGGGGGCATATGTAGGGAGGGGTTTGGGATGGGAATGGGGGGATGAGGACAATTATGTGATACCATAATAAAAAAAAATGTGTGTGCAAAAGTTTGAACAGTTATTAAAGGTGGGTTAGAAATTGAACTCTGAGCCTCCTGGAAGCCAACCAAGTAGAAAAATGTTCATTTTATAATTTATACTGTTTATAATTTTTTAAAGTAAAAATGAATACATTGTCTAAGAAAAATTCAAGGTATGGAAATTTCCTTAATTATATACTAAAACTAAGTGGTTTTCAAATAACAAACAATGATAATGGGGTAGTGAAATAAGAGTAGTAACTTCTTTGCCGGGAAGTTAAAACTGAAAGAAGAGGAATCTTTTCATTAGCACCCAGCGGTTACTGCACTTTTAAAAACCTTAGTTGACTTAAAATCAGTATTTCATTAAGCTTTTAGAAAAGAAGTACAAAGCTGAAAAGTTTTAAAAGGTAACTGGTTAGAGTAAGGCGTTTTTATTGTTGTTTTGTTTTTTGGGTTTTTTTGTTGTTGTTGTTGTTGTTGTTTTGTCTCTTCACAATGGCTTATAAAGATTACCGCTAGGAAATAGAAAGAGCAGAAGATACTTGAAGGAAATAAACAAAGAACCATATCTTTGTAAGGTTTTTTTCCAGGCAAACAGAACATGTGAAATAATATCCCACATTGTGTAGTCCATTCAGGAGAGATGTTTGAGTGTTCTTTTTCAAACTATTATATTTCAGAGGAATTAAGTTAAATAGAACATTCATAGGTGATATGTTCATTTATCAGATATGCCAACCTGAGTAATTGACTTAATTACTAATTAAATGACTAATTGAATTAATTTGTACATAATTTTAATGACTTTACTATATTAGTGTTGTTAAAGTTGAAATTGCCAATATAGAAATTGTTAACATGTTTACTTTTTAAATTTGAAGAGTCTTAAATATCTCTATGAAAGAGCTGTTGTTTCAATTTTTATAAAACAACCATGGTAAATATTCAAGAAAATGTTCTTAGAATCTGCAAGAGATAAATATTTAGCAAATTCATGGGCTACACTTATTTTTATTTTTATTTTCCCCATGGTAAAGAACCTTAATTGTTACTAATAAATGAAAATATTAATTGAGCTTAAATTTACTAATTTGAATTCTATTGAAATGTAAACACATTTTAGTTTAGCAGGAGTGTAATATATAACAGAGAAGGAATCCAAAAGTTATAGTCAGAAAACTACAAACACAGCTCAACTTCTGCTTTATTTACAAATACTTACAAAGTAGAATTACTGTATCATGAGTTTTAATTCTCAAAGAATGATACTAATTATACATTTAGGACTGTTGGTCAAATTTTAGAGTATATTTTAAATTAGGCAGAAATGATTAAAAAAGACTTTTTATAATAACATAAAGTCATGAGTCTCATTCAATTTTTTTCAAAGGCATGACCAAGGTCAAAGTGGGTAAAGAAGATTTATCATCCACTGAATTTGTAGAAAAACGAAGAGCAGCTCTGGAAAGGTAATTCTAGATAGCTCTGCTTTATTATACTCATGGTTTTGTTTCAGTAATATGTCTAATGCCATTATATGGTATAACTTAGTTCAGTGATTAATTGATAACTCATCAAAAGTGCTTTAAACTGTTATTAAGAAAATTGCTTCTCTGAACAATACTGTTCTGCTTTTATTAAATAGTTCTATTCTTGTCTTGTTTTTACAAGCAGCAATATAAAGGCATGAGTTAGTTGAAGATATAATTATTATGTCATAGTTGTGGTCAACAAAGAAGAAAAAAAAAGAATTCATAAATCTTTTGAAAGTGGGAAAAGGGTTAATAAAATTATTTGGATAAAAATATCTCTAGAATTATTTATATAATTAGGAAGTTATACTCACATTCATGTTCTGTATTTGGATAATTTGGCTAATTATAGTTCATCTAAATTTTTTGAATTATTCCTGGGTAAGATTATTAAATACACTGAATAATTAGGTTTTTGCTCTCTCCTTTAATTCTGTATCATTGATTTTGACTTGAGTGTACAAAAGTATGTGACTTCTTGAGTTGACTGGATGTTTAGAGGCTAATATACTCTACCTTCCTTTAAGTACTTGACTCAACACATTTCCCATGGCTTTGAAGACTTGTCATGATAGTAGTTAATGAAAAGTGGAGTGGAGTGGATGGCAGGATTCCCACTTCCAGAATCTAAACATTTATTCTTTTCTTACTATGCTGAAAATGTGATAAGACAAATTTGAAATTATATTATTTAAAGTCCAAGTTTTAGAACCTAAGTACACATTACCTAAAGCTAAAATATTTTCTGATTTCATAGGGTTTTTTAAATTTTCATAAAATTTTACTTATTTTAGTTGAATTTGTTTATTTGTTCTTTGTTTTATTTTGTTTTGGCTTAAAATAAATGGTTGGGGTTGGGGAGTGGAGGGTAGGAGAAATTTTAGAGAGTAGTATGTGTATTATCTACAGGCCACAAATTATTTTTTAAAACTATTTTTAAGGCAACTTATTTTTGTGTTTTAGTAATAAGTAATTTAAATTATAAGAAAATGCCACAGTAAAGTCAGGTTTGAACAATTGCTGTAAGAAAAGCTAAAGGATATGCTATTTAAAATCTTATAAAAGACTTAAAAGATGAGATTACAGTATGTTTAGACCTCCAGTCAAGATGGCAGCATAGGTAAACATGGTACTTGCTTCCACATCAAAATTTCAACTAAAATCAGAACCGCCTGAAATTCAGCTGAATGGAAGTTTTACATCTGAGGATTTTTTTTTTTTTTTTTTTTTTTTACATCTGAGGAATTTAAAAAGAAACCAAATCGAGACTGATTGGAGGGGCAGAGACAAGGAATGGGGTGATCATACACCCACGTGTGGGAGATAGTGTTTCTGGAGTCCCAAGCAGTTCTTAAAGATTCCACACAGGTTCTAATTCTGGATTCACTCCAAGCTCCAGCACTGGGACAAGAGCTTGAAAGGCACCAGAGATACATGATTAGGGACTGAAGTGTCGAGCATCAGGGCAAGAGTTTGGGGGGAGAGGGGGCGGAGGGGGGTCAGCTTTCTTCCAGACAGAAGTGCTAGCAAAGGCCCTTGTTCCTTTTTTAAGCCCAACACAGGTGGCAGGCAGGCGCCATCTTGAGGCTCCATCAACCCAGCTCACACTGTTTGCTTCACCCTGGTGATTCCCTGAGGCCCTCCCCTATTCAACTTTCAGGGCCACCCAAGCTATTTTCGGTGGCTTTTAAATACAAGTGCCCTGTCTTGGCTTATGCTTTAGATTTTTCTAAAATCTCTTAAGTAGCATCTGGCCTCAGTGAGCCCTGTATCTCTCACTAGGTGGTCTAGGCCTGGCACTAGCAGCAGCCAGCCTTGGTTCACAGCTTGGCCTTGTTTGAGAACTTCTAAGACTATGACGACTAGCCGCCATCTGCAATTCACCTTGTAGCTCATGCCAGGTGGCCCCAAGCAGAACACTGACAATGGCTCACCTTGGCCTACACCTACTAGGAGGCACTCAGTGCACAGCTTCAGACCATGTCAGGCACCACCACCCAACTACTTGGCATAAGCCACACATTCAGGAGGTTAGATTCAGCAGGAACCAGAGCCCTGCTAAAGTAAGTCTACTCTGAGGTGGGCCCTCTGTACAACTGATCCTCCATGGTGGGTAGAGGTTGGTGGTTAGTGGTCACAGCCAGTCCTTGCAGCTAATTGGCCTGGAGGTTAATCCCTCCCATTAATATGCCAACAACAACAAGGCTCAGCCACAAGGGTAGGGTGTATGCAGCCCAAAAATGCATCTTAAGATTTGGTGATTGGGAGGCTGTGCTACTGGACCCAACAGGATATTTACTATATTAGACCACTCTACCACACCTGGAAGATTTAGCAGCTCTACTTAATCATAGAAAGAAACATAGGTTGGCTACTATCAAAGCGAGGAGAAAAAGAAACATATCACAAATGGAAAAGAAAAAAGAACAAAACTCCAGAAAAAGAACTAAACAAAGCAATATACTAGATGCAGTGTTCAAGACACTTGATATAAGGATGCTCAATGGACAGTGAAAACTTCAACAGCATAAAAAAGGAACAGTCAGAAATGAGGTCTACACTAACCAAAATGAAGAATAATTTACAGGTAATCAACAGTAGAGTAAGCCGAGAACCAAATCTGCAATTTGGAATGTAAGGAAGCAAAAAACACGCAATCAAAACAGCAAAAAGAATCCCCCTAAAATGATGATAATGTAGGGAGCCTCTGGGACAACTTCAAGTGTACTAACATTTGCATTATGGGGTTGCCAGAAAGAAGAGAGAGAGAGCAAGAAATTGAAAACCTGTTTGAGAAGATAGTGATGAATAGCTTCACTAACCTGGTGAAGGAAATCCTATCTAATAAAAGAGTAAGATGCAAATTAACTGCCACTCTGCCATACCAATAAACCATGCCCACAATGCCACACCCACCAGACAATCTGGAGTGAATATGCAAATAAACCCAATCAAGATGGCTATGGCCACAGAGAGCAGGAGGGTGGCTTGGGTTTCCCTGATGATGAGGGCAGCCAAGCTTTCAGCCTTCCCTTGCAGGCCCAGGCCTCTGCTTAAGGCTACAAAGTTTCAATTATAATTTTATTTTTTATTTATTTATTTTTAATATATTTTATTGATTCTTTACAGAGAGGAAGGGAGAGAGATAGAGAGCTAGAAACGATGAGAGAGGAGCATCGACCAGCTGCCTCCTGCACATCTCCTGCTGGGGATGTGCCTGCAACCAACATACTTGCCCTTGACCGGAATCGAACCCAGGACCTTTCAGTCCACAGACCGACGCGCTCTACCGTTGAGCCAAACCGGTTTTGGCCAAAGTTTCAATTATAAAAGATACACAAATCCCACAGAAATGGCTGCAAGCAAAAGGCTTGGCTATGCTCCAGGCTACAAAGTTTCAATTGTAGAAGATAAGTAAACCCCAGATACCAGACCTTCCGCTTGGGTCATCAGGAGGCATGGCTGGCCTGCAAACCACCAAAGGCCCCTCACCCAGGCCACCCCACACCCCAAGGGAACCCCCACCCTGGTCTGGGACATCCTTCAGGGCAAACCAGCTGGCCCCCACCCATGCACCAGGCTTCTGTCCTATCTAGTAAAAGAGTAATATGCAGACTGACTGTCACTCCAACACAATATGGCTGTATGTGGACACAAGATGTCCACCAGGGGGAGGCAGTTGGGAGGGACCAGGCCTGTAAGGGAGAGCAGTTGTGGGTGATCAGGCCAGCAGGGAAGGGTAGTTGGGAGGGACCAAGACCAGGCCTGCAAGGGAGAGCAGTGGGGGGCGATTAAGCCTGCAGGAGAAGGCAGTTAGGGGTGGCCAAGTCAGTAGAGGAGGGAAGTTGGGGAGGACCAGGCCTGCGGGGAAGGGCAGTTGGGAGGAACCAGGCCTGCAAGGGAGGGCAGTTGGGGGCAATCAAGCCTGCAGGGGAGGGCAGTTAGGGGTGACCAGGCCAGCAGAGGAGGGAAGTTGGGAGCAAACAGGCTGGCAGGGGAGCAGTTAGATATCAATCAGGCTGGCAGGGGAGTGGTTAGGAGGAGATCAGGCTGGCAGGCAGAAGCGATTAGAGGCAATCAGGAAGGGAGGCAGGCAAGCAGTTGGGAGCCAGCAGTCCTAGATTGTGAGAGTAAATGACTGCCCGTTTAGGCTCACCGGGATCTTTTAGGCCCCCCTTGAGGTGTCCCAGATTGGAAGAGGGTGCATGCAGGTTGGGCTGAGAGAATCTTAGAAGCAGTTAGTTACCACCTACAAGGGACCTCCCAGAAGAATGTCAGCCGATTTCCTAACCGAAATTTTGCAGGCCAGAAGGGATAGGCAACAAATACTCAAAGTGATGAAAAGCAAGGACTTTTAACCAAAATTACCCAGCAAAGCTATTATTTAGAATTGAAGGACAGGTAAAGAGCTTCCCAGACAAGAAAATGCTAAAGATGGAGTTCATCACTACTAAACTAGTATTATATGAAATGTTAAAGTCCCTTCTCTAAAGAAGAAGGAAAAAAAAAAAATATGAACAACAAAGTGACAACAAATACATATTTATCAACAATTAAATCTAAAAAACAAAACAAAATACATGCACAAGCAGAACAGAAATAGAACATTTCTAAAAAATATATTTTATTAATTTTGTACAGAGAGGAAGGGAGAGAGATAAAGAGTTAGAAACATCGATGAGAGAGAGTCACCGATCAGCTGCCTCTTGCACACTCCCTACTGGGGATATGCCCGCAACCAAGGTACATGCCCTTGACCGGAATTGAACCCAGCACCCTTCAGTCCCCAAGCCGACGCTCTATCCATTGAGCCAAACCGGTCTCGGCTATACAGAACATTTTGATGGTTGCCAGATGGGGGAGGTTAGAGAGCATGAATGAAAAAGATGAAGAGAAAAAAGAAGTACAAATTGATTGTTGCAGAATAGTCATGGGGA